CATATCAATTTTACACTGCTCCTTGGGTGCAGCGTCAGAGGCAAGGACTGGAATTATTTATGGAGAAAGAGGATTCAAAAATAAAGACTAGGAGAGTTGTACGGTATTGATCCGTTTCTTTCACTCTTCTTCTTGCAGCAGCCAGGGAATGGGGAGGCAGTGTAATTTGAAGAGTCAGTACTGGGAGTGAGCCTAGAGTTCCTACTCTTCCTTTCTCTCTTCTTCCCCTCCCCCACCCCCCCCGGTTTTGGAAAGGTTCATTCATAGCAACTGAGAGGAGGCCTGTCCACCTCAAGAACTGCAGGGTGAGGGGTGGCTATGACAGAGTTACATACTTCATTTTCAGCAAGATGAGGATAGAGGCTAATAGGTTTTCTTGGAAGAGAGCAGAAGGATCTGACACCTACCAAAGGGACTTCACAAGCTGTCAGGCCTGGAGACAGTTGGGCCATATTACAGAAGTAGACTTTTTAAAAGAAGGGTTTGGGCCACACAAGCTCCTGCCCTCATTGTCTGGACCAAAGGGTGAAAAAATTATTTAAGGCCTACAGTAGTGACTTGCCTCTTTAAACCCTGAAGTCGCCTGAGTTCTAGCGATCTCGCCAGGGCTGCAGCATGGAGATGCTTCCCAACTAACAGACCACTCAGCCCACCACAAGGGGATATATGCATCTATGAACAATATGGAAAATTAGTAGGACCCTTAGTTAGGTGTCTGATTCAAGCTCTGATTGAAAGTAAATTCTTTCTAAGAAGTGGTATTGGACTTCATCTCACGTATACTACAGGTCTTGCTATTTGTTTTACAGGCAGTGGGCCCCTTATGGCCTCGGCGCTGTATTGTTGGTCTCTGTGTGTACATGTTTCTTTTGTTTTGTGGTTCCCATACAGGGGCCAGAGGTTCTCACCAGCAGATCTTTCTTCCCAGATCCCTGAAAAGGTGCCACGACTGATAAATTCCCTATCTTAATGGTTCCCCCGGAAGGCTAGCAATGGCATTCTCATAATCTGTGGTCTCACGGGTGGACCAAAGCGGGCAACCAAATTCAAACTATCCAATGAACAGAATTGTCCTTTAGACTTTAGCCTCCAGTGCAGAAAGAGCATGATAACTTCACCATTATGCATTAAAATGGTTTATTCCATCTCTAGCTTCTTTATGATGCCCATGATCTCACTTGTGGGTATTTTGGATCCATTATGATTAAAGCTACGTTTTAGTCACAGGTAGTTTTAGTAAAAGTCACAGACAGTTCCTGGGCAGTAAACAAAAATTCACGGCCGGTGACCTGTCCATGACTTGTACTAAAAATATCAGTGAATAAAACTTGGGAGGGGGAGCTACTTGGGGGAGGGCGGCCTGGCAGCTTCGGGGTGGGGGAGGGAGGTGGTGGTGTGCAGCATAGGACCCCGCTGGTGCTGGTGGGGAGGGTGGGGGCTCGCAGGCTCCCTAGCCGGTGCTGTCCATCCCCCTCAGCAGAGTTTGTGTGTGGGAGGAGCCGGGGGTTGGGGCACTGGACGGGATGAGGTGGGCTCTGAGCAGCACTTACCGGGGGGTGCCAGAAGTACCGACATCCCCCCTGGATCAGGTCCTAGGTGGAGGAGTGGCCACACAGCTCGGCGCGTTGCCTCCGCCTGCAGGCACTGCCCCTGCAACTTCCACTGGTCGCGGTTCCCAGAGCCCGCTTCACCCTGTCCGGTGCCCCAACCCTCTGCCTCCTCCAACACTCAAACTTTGCAGGGCGGGGGCCAGAGATGCCCTGCGCCTGGTGCAGGGGCTGCCTGAGCTGTCCCTGAGCCAGACATACCAGCTGCTGCAGAAGTCATGGAGGTCACGGAAAGTCACAGAATCCATGACCTCTGTGACAAACTCTCAGCCTGAATTATGATGCCAAATGGTGGCTGTGATGTCTAAGTCTTGGTAGGACTAGAAATCTTTAATTATCTAATGTGAGATGAGACTGTAGTATGTTTTGATGAAAGGTCTCCAGGACATTCAGAAGTTCAAGGTGTGTTGTGGCCTTTAGCCCTTGACAAAAAGCAATCAGGCTCTTCTAGCTATAGCTAGGTGATATCTCTGTCTGTGTTAATATTGCCCAAGAAACAAGAAAATGTGTGTGTGTGTGTGAGAGAGAGAGAGACTTCTTTGGGATGGGAGGAATAACCATACTCTCTTACCAACCTAGTTCGATATAATGTTCTATCCCTTTGTAAGTTAGGTGGAATGTTATTGGGATTGTCTTACTATCTGTGGTGGTATCACGGTCTTGTCTGGGCCAGTGGGGCTTTGCTCGCCCTCATTTTACAACTGTAAATTGATATTTAACTCAAGATGGCCACCTGGGCTTTAAATTTCATAATCTAAATTTAACACTTCTTTGCTGGTCCAACTACAATAAGCTGTGGTCAGAGTGTGGCCTCTGACCAAGCTGGGTTTCTTGGGTTAAGACTGGAGACATTCTTCCTCCCCATCTCAACTTCACCCAGAACTGGCTCCTGGAAGAAACAGCCAGTAACGTGGTGGTGTTGCCCCTTGCTGGGCCCTGATTGGATTCTGCTTGCTCATCGCCCTTCTAGATCGGGGTGGGCAAACTTTTTGCCCCAAGGGCCACATCAGGGAATAGAAATTGTATGGCGGGCCATGAATGCTCACAACGATGGGGTTGGGTTGCGGGTGAGGATGAGGAGTTTGGGGTGTAGGAGGGTGATCTGGGCTGGGACCAAGGGGTTGGGAGGGTGGGAGGTTGATCAGGGCTGGGGCAGGTGTCCGGGAAGGGGTACAGGTTCTGGGTGGGGGTGTGTGGACTCTGGGGTGGCCTGAGGATGAGAGGTTTGGAGTGCAGGAGGGTGCTGCGGGCTGGGATTGAGGGGTTTGGAGAGCGGGAGGGGGATCAGGGTTGGGGCAGGGTGTTGGGGCGTGGGGAGAGGCTCAGGGGGTGCAGGCTCCGAGCGACGCTTACCTCAAGCGGCTCTCGAAAGCAGTAGCATGTCCCTTCTCCAACTCTTATGCAGAGGCGCAGCCAGGCATCTCTGCACGCTGCCAAATCCGCAGGCACCGCCCCTGCAGCTCCCATTGGAGCGTGTAGGAGCAAGAGCAGGGCCATGCCGCGGCTTCCGGGAGCTGCGTGGTGCGGCCCCGACCCTGTGCCCCCGCTGGAGCAGGGCCGAGGCGGCTCGACCGCGACCCAGCACCCTAGCCGGAGCAGGGCCAAGCCACATGATGTGGCTAGCAGGCCAGCTTAAAACGTCTCCGGCCTGCGGGGTTCTGCTAGCAGCTGATCCTGGATGGCCTCTCTAGGCATCTCTTGAAAGAATGAACTCACTCCTCCTTTTCTTCAAAAGGCCATCTGAGGGTGGTGGTGTCAAGGTGGCAGGGCCTCCAGTAGGGGGCAACAACACCCTGTTCCTGGTTTAATGGTGTATGTTCCTTTAGCTTTGCCAGCTGCCGTGATTCCCCAAGAGAGCATTCACTCTCGTGGTATCTTACATGGCACACACAGTTATCTGCACAGAAAGGAGATGCATGTGGGTATTTCTATTCCTGCAGCTTCAGCCTCTTTGGGGGGTAAATGTTCTACAGAATGTCCTTAGAGTATGATTTCCCATCACAGGAGATGGGGCTTTCTAAATGCAGCTATTCCAGAGATTCTGGCATCCAGTCTTCTTTTGGTAGCTGCTGGGAGAGCCTCTAGAGATAAGAATAAAGTAATTTTGGTTAGGAGGGTGGTTTCAGGTGAAAATAAGTGAGAACAGCACCCGAAGGAAAATGCCACAATTGTTCTAGAGCGCCAAAAAACAAACAAACACAAGCAAACAAACAAAAATTTCCTTCCACCATTGAGCATCATCTTGCTAGTAACAGAAAAGTTATTAATTCCTTCGGCACGGCTTGCCTCTGATATTGGCTTTTTAAAAAAAAAAAAATTTTTTTTTGCCACAGTAAGTCAAATACTAAATATTTAGAAAATTTACTGTACGCCTCAATTCCACACTGATAGAGGAAGAGCTCGATGATATGGTATGGGGGTGGGCAGAGAAACTTTACCCATTTCTAATATAGCTTATTCCTGCCATTATGAATTTCCTAGGCCCTTCCAGTGGGAGATATAGATATACACGATATCGACATAGGTATTTGTAATATAATATGAGAATCTGGGGTTGGGGTTGGGTTTATGGAGCTTTTATTCTTCTGGGAAAAGAGTAAGGCATACTACCTGGCATGATTAAATACTGGTATAGGAGCAGCAACAAATAAGTGTGTGTGTGTGTGTTGACATTTTGGAGCAATAGTAATATTTGAATTTCACATCCTCTGATGCATTGTCATTTTGCAAGTGAACATCAATTTTTCCTCCTCAGTGAAATCCTAAGAGAGTATATGCACAAAGCAAAACTTTGCCAGGCTGAGCTCTGCATTTCTGGATACATCTTGCTTATTGAGAGATTGTTATAGAGAAATTTAGCATCATGCAGAAATTTTAATAATTGCTTCTGGGGGTAGCAATGATGTGCCTGGCAAACTGAGTAAAGGATTATGGTTTTGAATGGTGTGGATTTGAACACCATTTCAGAATAGTACTGAAATAAAGCAAGTATTTATAAAGTAAGAGGGAGAAAAACCATAACCTTTTCCCAGAAGTAGACACCAGTTTGTAATGCTTACATCTGAATGGATACTGCTGCAGTGACACAAATTGATTTTTTTTAAATTAAAAGATAAATATAAAATAAACTGATTCAAATTGCTGTCTGTCAACCAGTCATAAAAGGTTTCTCAAAGGATCTCCCCCCACCAGCACTTGTCCATAATATGCTGCTGTTGTATGAAGTCTTCAAGGTTAATCTGATGCTATTCCTGTTGCTGAGCGGCTGTTACCGGGTTGGTTGGTTGGTTGTTTTTTTCTTTTTAACTCTGAAGCCATGAAAACTTTAATCAACCTGACTGCAAATAAATACTGTCTCTAACTCTCTGCAACATGTGGCTGTTTCTTTTTTAGTGGAGGCGATAGTGGAATTTGACTACAAGGCTCAACATGATGATGAGCTGACAATCACAGTAGGTGACATAATCACCAATATCAAGAAAGAGACTGGAGGCTGGTGGGAAGGACAGCTCAAAGGCAGAAGAGGTTTGTTCCCTGACAACTTTGTAAGAGTGAGTACAAAGTGAAACAGTTCTTGTATATTGTACTTACTAGCTTGTATTGTTGTTTGACTGAAAAGCAGTCTTTTTATATCATGCTGCTATTAGTATTTTTTTGAATCATGTTGCATTACAAAGTAGAGAATGCATTTGTGTGGATATCTAGTGTAGTTACGATATCATTAAAAATAAATAAATAGACAAACCTTTTTCCTGCTCTGCAGTGGTTATTGCAGCTCCATGGTCTGAAAACAAAATTAACTTTTAGGACAAAGCCATCCTCCAAAACTCAGTTCCTTGTATGACTCATGCTGTTTGTAATATCTTCTCTCTCATATACAGTATCTATTTATAGATATCTAGAGTGCATTATGGTGTGATGTAAAGGCTTTATCACAGGAGAGGGCAAACTGTGGGCTGGATGCAGTCCATCAGGGCTTTCAATCCGGCCTGCAGGATTGCCAGCCTGATGGCACAGCAGGGCTAAGGCAGGCTCCCTGCCTGCCCTGGCCCCACACCGCTCCCGGAAGCGGCCAGCACCACATCCCTGCAGCCCGTGGGGGAGCAGAGGGCTCCGTGCACTGCCCTTGCCTGCAGGCACCAACCTCCTCCAGCTATCATTGGCCAGGAACAGGGAACCATGGCCAATGGGAGCTTTGGGGGTGGTACCCACCCTCCGGTGAGGGCAGCGCGCGGCGAAGCCACCTGCCGCACCTCACCCCCAAGAGCCATTGCTGGATATGCTGGCCACTTCCGGGAGTGGCGTGGGGTCAGAGCCTGCCTTAGCCCCACTGCATGCCACTGCCACCCTAGAGCCGCTCGAGGGTAAGTGGTGCCAGGCCGGAGACCACACCCTGTATGCCTCCTGTTCCCCAACCCCCTGCCTTGAGCCCCCCTGCTGCACCCCCTTCCACACCCTGCACTCCCTCCTGCACCCCTGCCCCAGCCCTACATTCATAGCCCTGCATACAATTTCCCCACCCACATGTGGCCCTCGGGCCAGAAAGTTTGCCCACCCCTGCTTTATCAGCATAAGCTTGGGGTAGATGCGTTATTCACAAATAGTGAAGCTATGAGTGAGTTATGCAGATTTTTTTCCAAACAAATGTCTTTAAAATCTTTATACCACAACTCCCGTTCATGTTTCTAGAATGTGCCAAATATGGTGCAGAAATACTATTTTTAGGAATGTTTTCAAGTGTTCTTTAATATCTTGTGTGGAGGCTCTTCTTTGTTCCCCTCCTCCCGTAAGAGCATCCACCATGATCTTGTACTGGGACCTGCAAGTGGGGACCCATATGCCTAGACTGAGTCTTCTTGGTTCAGGGGTCCTTGTTTGCAGATCTTGATGTAGCTTTGAGGCGACAGTTACTATGAACCTAGCTCTGTAGGAGTCCAAGGGAGGCATAATAACCAGAATACATTACTAAAGTAGCTTTTCTAGACACCAGTATTGGGATTTTCAAGACTGATATTGCAGCCCTTAAGGGTCTGAGAGAATGTCCTCTTTCCAATGGTATAAAGGTCCTGTTTCTAGCTGTGCAGAGCCATTGCATGTTGGACTTCAAACATATAAAGCATCTGTTACTGATGCAGGATTGAATATTGTTCCTTGTAGTCCTTGTCAAAGTGTCATTTTTTGAGTAGTGGGTAGGAAGTTCTACATCTGGTTAAAGGAGGAAGAAACTATTTTGTGGAAGATTTTTTTTTATTAAACTTTTTTTGAAAGCTTCTCAAAATCCTCCCCCGGCCCCCCCCAAAAGAAAAGAAAAAGAAAATGTTTTTGAGGTCTGTTGCAGACAATGATAATGTTAGTTTCCCAAAAAAAGGGTTGCAAGACTTCTATAATGGAAAGTGTTAGACAACCTAAGTGTAGGGGTTGCTTGCCAGATTCTCCTATAATACAGTAGGACCTCAGTGTTACGAACAACAGAGTTACAAACTGACCCGTCAACCACACAGCTCATTTGGAACTGGAAGTAAGCAATCAGGCAGCGGCAGAGACCCTCCTCCCCCACAAAAGCAGTGCAATGTTAAATCATAGAATCATAGAATATAAGGGTTGGAAGGGACCCCAGAAGGTCATCTAGTCCAACCCCCTGCTCGAAGCAGGACCAAATCCCAGTTAAATCATCCCAGCCAGGGCTTTGTCAAGCCTGACCTTAAAAACCTCTAAGGAAGGAGATTCTACCACCTCCCTAGGTAACGCATTCCAGTGTTTCACCACCCTCTTAGTGAAAAAGTTTTTCCTAATATCCAATCTAAACCTCCCCCACTGCAACTTGAGACCATTACTCCTCGTTCTGTCATCTGCTACCATTGAGAACAGTCTAGAGCCATCCTCTTTGGAACCCCCTTTCAGATAGTTGAAAGCAGCTATCAAATCCCCCCTCATTCTTCTCTTCTGCAGGCTAAACAATCCCAGCTCCCTCAGCCTCTCCTCATAACTCATGTGTTCCAGACCCCTAATCATTTTTGTTGCCCTTCGCTGGACTCTCTCCAATTTATCCACATCCTTCTTGAAGTGTGGGGCCCAAAACTGGACACAGTACTCCAGATGAGGCCTCACCAATGTCGAATAGAGGGGAACGATCACGTCCCTCGATCTGCTCGCTATGCCCCTACTTATACATCCCAAAATGCCATTGGCCTTCTTGGCAACAAGGGCACACTGCTGACTCATATCCAGCTTCTCGTCCACTGTCACCCCTAGGTCCTTTTCCGCAGAACTGCTGCCTAGCCATTCGGTCCCTAGTCTGTAGCTGTGCATTGGGTTCTTCCGTCCTAAGTGCAGGACCCTGCACTTATCCTTATTGAACCTCATCAGATTTCTTTTGGCCCAATCCTCCAATTTGTCTAGGTCCTTCTGTATCCTATCCCTCCCCTCCAGCGTATCTACCACTCCTCCCAGTTTAGTATCATCCGCAAATTTGCTGAGAGTGCAATCCACACCATCCTCCAGATCATTTATGAAGATATTGAACAAAACTGGCCCCAGGACCGACCCTTGGGGCACTCCACTTGATACCGGCTGCCAACTAGACATGGAGCCATTGATAACTACCCGTTGAGCCCGACAATCTAGCCAGCTTTCTACCCACCTTATAGTGCATTCTTCCAGCCCATACTTCCTTAACTTGCTGACAAGAATACTGTGGGAGACCGTGTGAAAAGCTTTGTAAACCTCTTCAAAAATAAAGGGAAAGCAGCATTTTTCTTCTTCATAGTAGTTTTTAAAGCTGTCTTAAGTCAATGTTCAGTTGCAAACTTTTGAAAGAACAACCGTAATGTTTTGTTCAGAGTTACAAACATTTCAAAGTTATGAACAACTTCTATTCCCGAGGTGTTCATAACTCTGAGGTTCTACTGTATCTAAGTTTTGTTACCTCCTGTACTTTCTAAATGATCGCAAACATGTGCATCTAATCAAATGATCTCAAAATTTTACCATTTTTCTCAATAAAAAAGAACTTAAGGCCAATATAAACATATACATTACATGCAGTATCAATAAAACTGCAGTTTTTGCTTAATCAGCATATAAAGCTATTTTCAAAAGAACTGAAAACCAGATTACGCACGTGCTCTTTCTCATAGTCAACCAGAACACAGAGTAAAATTTGCTTTTCCTTTGTGGAACCTTCCGTATTCCAGTTGGATACAACTGTATTAGGAAAAAGTTTCTGACATACATTCTTTAAAAAAAAAAAATATATTGTGCGAGAATCTCAAAAGTGCATAACCTCACCTGCTGCTTCAATTTGTTTTATCCATAATCTCCTTAAACTTGATAGAACTACAATTCAGCATGGACATAGTCACGTTGGGAAAGCTTGTCAAGCATGATAACCATGGCAAATAAAATTAATGCAAGTATATAATAATCACATACATAAATATACTCACTCATGTTCACTGCGCCTCTCTTGAATTCCTGAGGATTCCTAAGGATGTTCACAACAATATCAAGTACGTGTAACTTGCTTTTGGGAGCTGTGTTCAAAATGATCACTACTTTTTCAGTGTGTCTTGATGTTTCCGGTATGTGGCATCCTACCCTACTTCAGAATATCAAAATAGTTGCTCTCAGAGGTGAAAATAGTAGCTCTTCGCAGTGAAACGTTTTACATATATGTTCATATACCTGCGTAAAGGTTAAATTTCACCTGTGAGTGGAGGGGCTGTGACAGGCCTCTAATACAGGGAACTGCAGCTATTCTTTTGTGCCAAAGAAGGATGAGGAGCAGGCAAACAGAACTGCACTCCCTGCAGGCATTGAAGGTGGGTTCAGTGCCAGTTGCACATTGCCCATCATGGAAGGTTTTCATGGTTTAGCTATGGGAAGGGTAGTAGTATGGGCACTGAGTCTGTGATTACATGGATTGGGTGGCCATGAAAGCTGTGACAGGACTGCAGAAAAGTCACAGCCCCTGTTTAACTCAAACATTGGTATAAGGGCGTTGAAGCAACCCTACTTGTGCCTGCAAATTGGGGGATGGTTTCAGTGAGGTATTTGCTGCACTGGACTTTATAGGAGGGTTGGAGATTGTAGGCATGAGTACTATCTGAAAATCTTGGATTTGTTACCCATAAACCTCCTTGATCAGTACATGCCATAATACTGACAAACTAGTTTATAACAAAAAGAAAATAGCACTAAAGAAAAAATAGTTATTGTAAGGTCACAACAAAAGCAATAGGTCTGCTGTACAAAGGAGATTGCATGTCATCAGAATACATATATGCAAGGAAGCTTTTTTTTTTTTTTTTAATGGAGCCTGCCACCCACTACCCAAGGGCTGAATCCTGACCCCACCAGCCCTGGCAAGGCGGGGAACTCACTGGCTGCCCGCTCCTCCAGCTTTTGTGTCTCCAAAGGTGAGCAGAGTCCAACCACTGCTGGCGGCCCTGGGAGTGGGGGCTGCAGCTTTGCCATCCCCCATCACTGCCTAGGAGGCTGTGGCTGCAAGAGAAGTCGCTGGTGGCCTCATGCAGCCATGGTGGCTGCATAT